GATCATATGTAATAGTGAGTTCATTTGGACATTATATTATAGGCTAAATTTTTGAAAATGCAACATGTTTATTTAATTTGACCAGGGTATGCTTTGCTCTGTCTGGTATTTTTCCGTTCATGTATCGTTGTCGCATGGAACACACCCAATTTCTTCATAGCATAAATTGAGGTTAACATGCATCTATGGTAATGTGATACTGTTATTTTGACAATTTATTGTGTTTTGTAATGTGTATGCTTCTTCATTGTAATACTTTTGTTGATTTTGGTATTTCAGTTGGTTTTTGGTGCGTTTTTGTTATTTATTTTATGGTATTTACTTAATGACATAATTAATTTGTTTTTCTTATCGATTTCTTGCAGATAGTTGACTTAATAGTCTACTGTGCTGTAGGACTCTCCGGACTTTGTTGTTTTCTGCTTAACCTAGAACGAATTTGCAGTCAAATGGCAGGGCAATATCTGGGAATCATCTATGTGATTGTGTGAGCATTTAATTCTTAAGTGAGTAATCCCTTGTTCTTAGTTGTTGACTATATGTTGATTAGGTGATAATGATGTCTTAAAGCAACACTGAATCATCTTACTGTGATGATACAAGGGAGTTTTTGTTAACAAAACTAGTATGAAATTCATCAGTGCAATGTTCGAAAAGGTTAAGTTGCTTTTTATAAGAAACAAGCACTTTACTATTAGCAAGCTGTTTAATAGGTGTCCACTATTAATAAAAACAAAGTTACAATAATTTGAATCACTTAATAAACAGAGAAGAAGGTTGATAGATAGCTGAGCTGATCATAAATATTAGTGAGTTCGTTTGACATTGGGCTACTTTTGTTAATTTTGCTAGTTCATTTCGTTTATGGTCCTTTTTTGTTATATGTTTCATATTATTTATTTTATAACAGTTAATTTGTTTTTCTTGTCGATTATTTGCAGATAGTTGACTTAATAGTCTACTGTGCTGTAGGACTCCCCGGACTTTGTTGTTTTCTGCTTAACCTAGAACGAATTTGCAGTCAAATGGCAGTGCAATATCTGGGAATCGTCTATGTGATTGTGTCAGCATTTAATTCTTAAGTAAGTAATCCCTTGTTCTTAGTTGTTGACTATATGTTGATTAAGTGATTATGATGTCTTAAAGCAACGCTGAACCATCTTCCTGTGATGATACAAGGGAGTTTTTATTAACAAAACTAGTATAAAATTCACCAGTACAATGTTCGAAAACGTTAACTTGCTTTTTATAAGAAACGAGCACTTTATAATTACAATGATTTTATAAAAAGTTACACTTATTTAAATCACTCAATGAACAGAGGAGCCGTTTGATGATTACTTCAGTAGGGTATGCAGGTAATGTTAGNATTTCGCAATAATTTCACGAGCGCTTTTTTATGTTTAAATTCTTTTATATATTTTAGTAAAATTAGTGCCGAACAATACGAATTTGATTCCGTACTTCAAAACCGTTGGCGCCGTGAGATTCTACGTTCTCTTTTTCATAATTTTCACTTATTAAAGCTTTGTAAATATCTTGCACCTTGCAATAATTTTACGAGCGCCTTTTTATGTTTCAATTATTTTAAATATTAAAACACAAAAAGCGCTGGAAAGTACCAATTTGACATCGCACTCGAAAACCGCTGGCACCGTGAGATTCTACATACCTTTTACACAATAATAATAACTGCTTAAAGCTTAAAAAATACTTCCCATCTCCCAGTAATTTCTTTTTTACGTTCAAATTATGATTTTACGAGCGCCTTTTTTGGTTCAAATTATTTTATATATTTTAGCAAAAATAATAGCGCATAGTATCAATAAAAAAAAAAGAAACGGTAGTACCATGGATATTCTATGTACTTTTCTACATAATTTTAACTTGTGAAAGCTTAACCTTGCACCTGTCAGTAATTTGACGAGCGCCTTTTTATGTTCATTTAAAATTAGTAAGGAAGAGCCGTTTTTTTATGAATGCAAAATGTAATAGGTCATTTGATCTTATACCTTTAGGCCGAGATGTGCTTTTCTATAGTTGTTTTCAGTTTTGCCTTTCCGCTATTTTGTCCAACAAGTCCCTGCAATTTCGAGAATTCGACACTGTGAGTATTTTAGGGTGTGGAATTTGCTATATTCCCAACCGATCTTCCGCCGGGCCTAATGGGTAGCTATCCGTTCGGCAGGGTTCAAGAGAGCTATCATACAAACAATTGTATTGTTGGTCGTTTCTAATTTACTTTTAGACTTCTTCGTAGAATTTGTCGAGCGAAAAAGGCCAAAGATATGGTAAACAGAAATTGTCGTGGCTTCAGTGTATATCCTCCAGAATATTTTTATCCTATACCTTGGTGGAACTGGACGATGTACTTTGACGAAAAATACACAGCGCAAGTGATAAGGAAAATAAAAGACAGTTACGTCGTGCACGTGTGGAACAAACATAGTCAAAAAAGCAAAATATCTGTACGCAGTAATGTGCCGTATGTATTTCTGGCGAAAAAATATTGCCCAAAAGTATTTGCAGAAGGTAGCGAATTTATTTAAAATTTACCCATGTACCTACCTGCATACGTACGAACAAAAAGAAACCATGTGTAGGTAATTAGAATTTACCTACTGTACAGGATTTGTCATATCGTAAGTGGGTCCTTTTACTGTTGTATCTGACCTACATCAGCATATCAAACATTTATTAGAGGCGTACGCTAGTCACATACTGGTATCTCATTAAATGCTTCTGGGTTAGGATAAATTGTTCTAATAAACTCATCCAAAAACAAATTCTCTGTTATGTAGTTGACTTATAAAAATTTTCTTTTTTGAAAAATTGTTGAAAAGGATAAGCACAAGTATAGTTTCCGGAAAAATACTTAAAATAAGTCAAAAGAGCTAACAGTAAATTATTGTAAATCTCAATCTTTTACGACAAATTAAGATTTGTGGGAAATTTGATTAGGTTCCATTGTAGGTATTCAGAAATTTACTGAAAAATTTTATGTTTGTACCCACTCATAATGAAATGCATACGTAGTTTAATTAAGTTTAAGTACGGAACATATATGTACATATGTATATGTTAATGATAATTATTATCATCCCGAGCAGTAGCTTCAACTAAAGCTCAAATAAATGTCAGTATTATCCAAGAGACAATAAGGAAATTGCATTTGAATTGATTAAAAAACTGTTTACACCCTTTCAACTACGTAATTGTAAGACATTTATTCATTTTATGGACATACATAACGACTGTAAGAATTAATGAGAAGGAGAATGCACTTAATTTACATTATATTCTTTAGCTATGTAAACATAAAAAAATAATGCATTAAATGATTATACTTTATTATTAAGTATATTTTTTTTTAAACGTTATTCAGTATTAGCGAAGCTCGGGTATAATTATAAAATTTAAACTGGATAATATATTCATGATCAGTATGGAATGTAAGTCAAAATCGACACTTTATTGTTAATTAAGCACTTTCTTCCGAAGATTTTTTAATTTCGTTCGATATTGTAAAGAGAACACTGCGGACTTTAGAGGGTACACCAACGATAAAGTTTAATGACCTGTAAAGACCACTCAGGACCGTAATTAATGGTACACAGATAAAAAATACAACGATTAAACTTCCGATAGGAATAAATAGAGAATGCACCACAAATAAAAATAAATCCAAAATGCCGAAAATAAACAGTACAAACATCAGTTTTATAGTGACCAATTTCATCATCAAATTTGATATACTGAAACCATCGGTCTCCATTGTTCTTCGGTTCCTTTATCTATCCATTTTTTTATAGTAACTTTTCTTCGTTTGTCCTTTACGTTTATTTTATATATAAATATTGTGCATTTTACTGCTACGAATTTTGGAGTAAATTTTTATATGTAAATAATATTACAATAAAATATTAATTTACTGACATTTTTTTAATATGTCAATAAGTATATATAGTTTCATTGCTTAAATACAAATTAAAATAAAATCTGAACTATTTAAATTTTGAGCCGTAGACAGATAGGCAACACACGCGGCCTCGAATGCAATGGCCCCCTACGGCAGCGCACCTACCGGCAATTTTGCAGAAACATTTATTTATTTTTACTAATTACTTTTTTTTGACGGTCACAAGGTTAAGACACGGGAAGACAACTCTCACGAAAGGAGTGTTGTCGTTACGTGTGTTTCCTTTTGTTTGATGACATTGTTTTTGTAGAGTCGCAATATTGGAAGCATTCTTTATGAATGTAGTTTAGGTTGTTCTGATTCTGCTTAGTTAGATACCACTTACGTATGTATGCAGTTAAAAAATCAAATGAAATTCTCATCATTGCAAAGCGCCGCTAGTTGCGCTGCCTATGAGCCACTGCTTTCGAAATCTATGTCTATGGAAAATAACAGTTTTGTACATTAATCTATGGTTTCATAGTTTCGTTCAAAGTCGCCAAAAAAACTACTAAGACATCGAAATTTAATTGTTGCCAATCTATTGCGTGTCATTTGGGCTTAAAAATTGGACTATTATTGTTATGGTTATGTTACGGATGGTAATGGTATAATCTATGGTATAGTATAATCTATGGTTTTGGTTTCCTTTTGTCTATGGTTTAATTATGCTTACCCTTTGTATCCTTGTATATCTATTATCTATGGTTACATTTCTAAAATGGCCACGTAATGTCAGATGGTTCGTTTCAAAAAAGTCGTTTATAAATTTATTTATTTTCATATGGTGTATAATTTTGAACATGTTGAAGGAGAAACCTATGGTGCGAATGAGCTCAAGTGGTCACACTGTGGAGTCCTTTGATATATCAGGTAAATATTTGCAGGTTACATGCTTTACCAGTTTGTTTTTCTCATCCAATAGCAATTCAATTTTCTTTATATTCACATGTAAATTTGATATGATTTTAATAAATATATTCCGTGTTCCATTTCATTACCAACTGTCGTATTGAGAATTATTCCACTTAATTAATAAGCAATTAATAGTAACTAAAAAGTAGAGGTCAGTGGTAAAAATGAATGACCTATCCATACAGTGAACATACATACATACATTTTATGTAGGCTATTATTTTACAATAATATTTGCAGTGAATTTAAATTAGCATAGAGAGCTAACACATGTACGCATTAATTGCAAGATGTATAATTTTTTTTCGTTGATATGGAATATGGACATTATTTTCATTCCAGAGTTGACTCCTGAGCAACAAAAAATTTTAATTGATATAAGGAGGAGAAAAACCGATTTGCTACTTGAAATTCAGGTGAGTTAAATTTTACTATCTTTAATTAACCAACCAGTATTACTATTTTAATATACCACAGCCAATACATTCCATAATAATTCATTGTGTTCTTTGTTTGTTGTATTAGATATTTGTGGCAATGTTTTAATTTGATTTTATGGTATGCTTAGTGGGTAATATTCAGTAATACCTGTGTCGTTATGAGTACTTTTTTTAATGAATCCTTAATTAAATTTTTAATATTTATTGCGTTTTGATAAAAATGCGTATGTATACAACTTCACATACTTGTATGTAGTGTTGCAAACATTCATCAGCAGATTTGAAATATGTGCAAGGCGTATTTGTGTTGCATTAATAAGTACGTTTGTATGTCAAGGAAATAATTCAACAGAATATTATGCATATTATCATGGATAAAGGATTAATTAATTTACTTATATTAAAAGTTGAAAACGTCATCTCGTTATTCTGCAGTTTTTTTTTGTTTTAATCTGTCCTTTCTCGTCAGAAAAACTGAAACAATAAAAAAATCATTTAAGTTTAAACTTTTTGTTATAATTTATTACTGAGAAACAATGTTATTTGTATCTGTACATAAATTAATTCTCTTTCTTACGACTGGTTGCCACATAATATTGCTAAATTGTGTGTTAACGGTGATTTTCGCTTTGTGCCTTTATTGTTATCTTGTTAAACGTTGCTTCCGTTTTAAGAATGATAAGTGTGTTTTAAACAACATCCGGCTGATAGGCGTGTTATACTGATAAAGTTCCGGAGATCCTTGCAGTGTTTAACATTTTTTTTTAAACAGTTATTTTTTGTTAAACACTGTAGGAAATTATTTCTTTTCATATTTTTCTGATAAAGTCATAAAATTAATGTTTCCATTTTTGTTAATACTTGTCTGTATTACCCAACGAAACAGCGTTTTTTAAACTCTAATCGGTATTTCATCGGAATTCCCACCTAGGATGATGCATATTCTACTTCAAACTCAAGAAACGCAAAGATAACGAAGGACAATATACTCGACAAGGAGTTACATACGAATTATTCATAATTAATTTAGTTCACACTACAACTATATTGTTTGTAAGGGTTTTCGTGAGAAATGGTTTTGATTGCAAAATATCGCTTCACTACACCATTGCATGTACAAATGTACTTCTTATACTGGTCCTATTGGACTGTATCCAGAAAGCTGTGCCAGCAAATTTTACGTCAGTAGATAATTTTCTTTGGTGTTTTAAAAATACTAATTGTAAATTTAAAGCGGTCGACTTCTGCTCCTATTCTTTCGTCGTCGATGGGCGATGCACGGCAGCGATTTCATTCCGTCACTTGGCATCGGTAACCGGTAAATTTTTTGGCACTGGGTCCTTTATCGGTGGTCAGTGGGGTCACACTGGTATTGTTTATCAAATTTGAGAGAGTCGCGCTTCGGCAAAGTGCTAAATAAGTTGTTTCATTACTAACTTATTCGTATTAAAAAAAAAAAGAGGTATGGACTTTGATTAGACACTTGTTGATACATTTCCCAAAACAATTTTTGATTCATTATCTTTTAGAAAATTTTAGAATTTAAGTAGCTAGCTAAATATGTTATACTTTAACTTTTAAAGTGAATTTCTGAATTTGCAATATTTAGAAGTAGAGAGGGAGAAGGATTTCTAAAAAGTCATCGTTTACAATCAGAGGCTTCTTTTGAGTGGATTTTTACGTTGTAAGATAAGTTAAAACAGAAGTCTATTGGTTCACAGGATCAACTTAAAAGCAGTTGTCAAGAATACGAATAGTAATTTTCATTGCTTGTCTAATTTGCACACTCTCTGCAACAAAGCAACAAAGTCCGTTTATATTACGTGTGTATAGATATGTATACGGACATAATTATACTTGTATGTAGTGTAATAAGTGTATACATACGTGCGCACATGTCTTGTTTGCCTTGCCCGTGGTCATCATTCCAATATTAATAATGTTTATCAGTGTGCATATTTGTTATACACATATAATGTACATGAATTCTTAAAAAAGAAATTGTCGTTACTTTTAAAAAACATCGATTGTATGTATAGGTAAGTAGAGTTTAGCAGAATTTGGCAACTGTGCGTGGAAATTCAAACAGAATGAAAATGTACTCATCGGATTCAGTCTTATTTATTTATTACGTTTGTAACTTAAAATTAGGTTTTATTCGATTACTCACAATTACTCAACAGTAGGCGTGCGAACGGTGCGGCGTTCGTTTCGTGCGCGGACGCGGTACCCTTATCACATATTCTACAATAAATAAGTGTCTAAGTACTTTGTTTTAAAAAAAGTGCGTTGCTGAGATGAGGCGGATTCCTACGTTAAGTTGTGAATATCAGCGGTATTCACATTTAATTAACATTACTTGTATATACTTTTTGCTACGTACAATAGGTATTTACCTACCTATGTATATATACATACGTACATATAATATGATTTATAATAGGTACTCTATGTAAACGATAAGCTCAGCCTTTTTTTTTAAATTTTGTTTTTGTTTCTAATTAGTTAATTTAGAAAGACTTAAATTGTAACAGGGGCACACAACGTACATCACAAAAGATCTTTTATTATAGTTTCATGTAGCTGTAATAATATGAAAACGGCTGCATGTACATAAAAACATTTTTTTTTAAATCTCATGCTAAGCTTTCGACTTTTTTTTACACAGTTACATCATCTTTCAAAAATATTACGACATAACATATTTATTCTTTTCTTGAACTTCAAGACAGTTTGTACATATGTTCCTATTTATATATGAAATAATTAATTAGATAGGTAGTTGCTAATGTTGTTTGCATCACTAGTTATCATATTGTTTTGTTCAAAATTTTGCGGTTAGTGCCATGGATTTTACTCCATGTATAAAATATCCTAATTTTGTCGATACGTTTTAGTTCGAAACTTTCAAATCATAAGCAAACACTAATTTACCTAAATTTTTTCAAGTACCCATCCGCAATAATTATTTTGATGCGTGTAAAACTTTTAAATGTCTCGTTTTTGCTAACATTGTTTGCTTACACTGTACGCACGTTTCAAATAACTTATGTAATTTTGAAAATAGCGCTCTTTATTTATTTACTAAAACGGTGTGAAAGTTATAAAAGAAAACGATGCTGACTATCTACCTATCATGATGATGAAGCTTATCGCCTATCTGCCTTATCTTTCTCGTTCGTCATCAGTAACATTGAACATTAGTTCCTCAGTCACTAACGATGAGTGCTTTCTATTATGGATTAATAATAAGAAAAAGTGCCTAATGATAACGTGCAACTATCCACTATATGCTCTATGTATAAATAATTAGCCGTGTGAATTTAAATACGTACCTACATAATTACCTATTATAAAGTGACCACCGATTTAACTATCATACCTTTCATGTGTGTGTTTTCGTTAAGTTATCGAAAATTTGTCGTTAACGTTGCAAATCGATTGACGTAAAATACTAATAGTGTTGAATTGGATTAAATTTGTTTATTGACCAATCGCAAATTCAAATGTTAAGAAGATGATGTATAATACTGTCGGGAGGACTAGAAAAAGTTCCATTAGCACTTCCTCTGCGTCTGTGACGGTCTCGGGTTGGTTCAATTCTCTCAGAAAAAATGGGAAAAAAGGGAAAGTTTCACAAAAGAATTTCTCGGCCTCTAGGAGCGATTGGGACATCTCGACAATTACCACAGCGCCACCTCGATGGGTATGTGTTTTACAACTTTGTTTTGTTTAATGATGATAACAAATATGCACACGGTTATGGCTCGAAATAGGATACTTTTAAACCATTTGGCGTCGGGATGAACCATTCTGTTTGACTGATGTACGAATGTACGTTTATTAAATACGTTAAATCATTATCTAAAGCAAAGGAAATTTGGGGGTAAAATGCCCACGTTTCGCCTTTATCATTTAGGAATTCTTCAAGGAAGAGTGCAAGTTAATAGTTGTTTGTGTGCAGATGATTATTGATTATTGAAGCTTAATCCAGGCACAATTAATAAATGTACGTACTATGGTTTTCTTTGCGAATGCATTCTCTATCTTTCCAGCAACTCAAGGATGAATTGTGCGATGTGGTTTCCGAAATGGAATCGCTGGATTCTGGAGAGGAAGGCAAAAATAGCAATAAAGCTAAAATGATGTCTATTGGTCGGAAAAAATTTAACATGGATCCTAAAAAAGGTATCGAGTATTTGATTGAGAAGGATCTCATCCAGAACACACCCGAGAGCGTCGCCCAATTTCTTCATAAAGGAGAGGGACTTAACAAGACTGCTATTGGGGATTATCTGGGAGAAAAGAACGAGTTCAACGAAAAAGTTTTGCAGGCATTTGTTGGATTGCACGATTTTACTGATCTTATTCTAGTACAAGCCTTAAGGTATATTATGCCTTTTTACCAACGTTTTAACTGTTTTTAGTAACCATGAATACAACTTTACATCCTAAAATTGCACCGAACGTTTACCATCTCTAAGCGCGCTGAAGTTAGAGACTAACCGTGGAAGATAGAGCTTGGGTGTCTGAACGCGTTTTAGAAGTAAACTAAACTTTTTTATGAAATTTTGGGATTTACTGTTTCATTTAGTTCTGTTCCACGGCATTCAATTTTTTTATTTTTTTTGTAATAACCGAGAAGAGAAATTAACGGCGTACTTTTTGAAATTTCCTTTTTCTTTACAAATTAGAAAATACCGTATTATTGTAGTTTCATTAATTTGTCCGTATAACAAGATGAGAATGCCTACAATTATTATCAAAGTAATAAGTATTATTATTCGTAGACAATTCTTGTGGAGTTTCCGTTTGCCAGGAGAAGCACAAAAGATCGATAGGATGATGGAATGCTTTGCAAAAAGATACTGTGAATGTCAGGGAGAAAATAATATATTTCAAAATTCGGACACGTGTTATGTTCTTTCATTTGCCATCATCATGCTGAACACGAGTCTCCACAATCCAAGCGTTAAAGAAAAACCAACGATCGATCAGTTTATTAATATGAATCGAGGCATCAATATGGGACAGGATTTACCAAGAGAATTACTGGTGGTAAGTTCATGTGTGATCATAGTATGATTGAATTTTTTTTTATGGTTGTGTCGGTTTAGTAGAAGAAAAGCTTCTTCGTTCGTTATCATGATATTGATTAATGTTTGCAGGGTCTTTATGAAAGTATCAAAGCTGAGCCTTTTAAGATTCCAGAAGATGATGGTAACGATTTAATGCATACGTTTTTTAATCCGGACAAAGAAGGTTGGCTGTGGAAACAAGGCGGTCGTTATAAAAGTTGGAAACGGCGCTGGTTCATTCTAAACGATAACTGCCTGTATTATTTTGAATACACGACAGATAAGGAGCCCCGAGGTATCATCCCATTGGAGAACATCTCCGTCCGAGAATGTACCGATCGTCAAAAACAACATTGCTTTGAACTTTATGCAAGTGGAGGTGCGGATTTCATAAAGGCCTGTAAAACAGATTCGGAAGGTAAAGTTGTCGAGGGTAAGCATACGGTTTATAGAATGTCGGCAAGTAGCGAAGAGGAAAAGATCGATTGGATGAACAGATTAAGTCAAAGTATAAGTCATAATCCTTTTTACGATATGCTGGCCAGTAGAAAGCGGAAAGCCCAATATACAGCCAAAAATTAACCAATACAATACCATACAACAATTGAGATTTTTGTGTGCTCATGTCACCCTTATAATTTTCACTATCATTTTTTTTTTTCAATTTATGGTATATGAAGCCGCTGAAATTAATTATTAACTAAAAGTAAATTTCATAATGAAATTTGTTAAACTCGTCGTTTTTAATGCAGTACTGTGCTCGTTGGTCTGTAGTAATACCTAAATTTACATATGTAATTAATAACGAACGGTATGTGATGATAGTAATTTTTTAAATAAAGTCCTACATATTTCTACTTATTTTCTAGAGAAGATGTGAACGATAAATATGCTCAAAAAACAAAATTCTTTCTCTTTTCCTAATCGCCTTTCATGTTCTTTATAAGTACTTTGAAAATTAGCCCAAGCAGGTTGTTTGTTGTATTTTACACGAATTTCTTAATTAGGGGAGACGTGTCGACATTTCGATCGTTTGATATTTCTATGAATTAATGCGATTAATAATCGTCACATATCGAAGAACCTAACGAGAGACTGGGCTTGCAATTATTGTTAAGCTCCTTACATATCGATTAATTAACAAGTTTTATTATTTGTTGTTTGCAATTAAAAAAGAAATTTGTTCATGGAAAATTACATATGTCGAGGTTTCTCAAATGTTTTATTTTAACTTTGCTTTGTACATTTGCATATTTAGAATATTTGTTATATTTTCTTCGAACTTGTATGTACAGCGTATGTGTGCGTGCGTGCGTTGTTGTTGTTGTTATTATGATTTATAAATTACTATTTTATAATATTTTAAATACTAGTCGAACCCTGAAAATTATTATATGTATAAATATTTACAAATACTAACGTAGGAATTTATATTATTCATTGATACCTGAAGGAATCGTAATACACCTTTCTTATTATCAATTAAGAGAAACTTTTTGTACATGAATTGAATGTATATAATAAGTTAAGTATGTACCTATATGTGATGTACATATTATAATATTATGTGAATCTTTTAAGAAGCAATAAACAATTGTTTCCTAAACTATGTAAAAATGCACGAGAGGAAAAGTTTTCATTCCCAAAAGTCGTTTTATTAAAGTGTGATATACTGATATTGCACTAATAGGAGGAATTACTTTCATAATGGACAGAAGTAACCGGTTTTGCATTTTCCACCCTTCATTTTCAAAATCTTTCTTTTACTTTTATTTTAATTATGCACTTTTAAACGTTTAATTTCTACCTTAGTATAGGATCTAAGGTNTACTACTATATTATAGAATCTAAAGAAGTTTCATTTCTTACGCGTGCACACTAATACCTACACGATCTTCCTCTTTTTTTTCTTTTCCGAAAAGTTTAATAATTTAAAGACGTTGCTTGGCCCTTTGTCTTATAGATGGTTACAAGTTGCAAAAGTTTATTGCATAGGCTCCAACAGCCCCCAGTGGGCGCCAGAGCCTCCCACGGTCCCTAGTGACTTCAGAGATAAACAAGGAATCAGGGGGTGGTACTTTTTTCTTCTAAAGGGGTGACGGTCCGAAAAAAATTGAAAAACCCCAGTTTAAAGGAATAGCCATGAGATAAATCTTATATATAAAACTTATGTAGACTGTAAAAAACAACGAAAATTATGTTTCAATCCCACTATTAATGTCCCTGGAGTGAAAGGATTAGCCAGCCAAAGCTGTTGCCCGGGGGACGCCCGAATGTACACTCAGTACATTCTTCGAGGAGGCTCCTTTCGTGTCCCCCATCCTATCCCATTTTACTATTTATCCCTAACAAAAGTACTAAACCGTGGTATTTTCTACGTAAATATCCGTTTCCAATTAAATTACCCCTCCAATTCATCATCGTAGTTTTAACAGACATTTTACAATTTCGTAGATACGAAAGATATTTAATTGCAATGATATTCGCGATTAACCTGTTAAAAAAATGACAAATTACTTTCGAGACAATTAATCAAATGCTAATTACATATATGTATCATCTATAAGTGCTCACATCCGTTGTCTTGCATTGAGTGAGATTAGTTTTCTTGGTATAAATAACACCAAAATACTCGAGGCTGTGCAGTGGTCTGGTTGAGGTAAACTGGAAATTTAAAAATGAAGTTACTCGTTGTTCTTTTAGGCCTTGTGTGCACCTTAGCCCATGGTAAGTTTTATTACAAACGTTTATTTATTTATTTATTTATTTATTGTGGAGTATGGATTCACACCCAATTACAATTATTTATTTAATATCATAGTTAATTTGTGTTTCTTGTCGATTATTTGCAGATAGTTGACTTAATAGTTTGCTGTGGTGCAAGACTCCCTGGATTTTGTTGTTTGCTGCTTACTATTAACCGAGAATGAATTTGCAGTCAAATGGCAGTGTAATATCAGGGGATCATCTCTGTGATTGTGTTATCATCCAATTCTTAAGTAAGTGATTGTTTGTTTCTATTTGTTGTGTATATGTTCATTAAGTGATGATGATGTCTTAAAGCAACGCTTAACCATCTTTCTGTGACGATACAAGCAAGTTCTTATTAACAACACTAATATAAACTTCACCAGTACAATGTTCGAAAAAGTTCACTTGCTTTTTATAAAAAACGAGCACTGTATTATTAGCAAGCTGTTTCAGTAATAGGTATTCACTATTAGTTAATAGAAAATTAAACTTATTAAAATCACTTAATGAGTAGAAAAGAAGGTTGATAGGTACTTTGATATGCTATGCACGTAATGGCACTAAGGGGACTGGAAATGATCATATGTGATAGTGAGCTCATTTGATATTATATTATATCCTTAATTTGTGAAAATGAAACATGTTTATTTTTTTTTCTTTGACGGGGCTATGCTTTGCATTGTCTGTTATTTTTCCCATCATGTATCATGAGTCGCATGGAACGCACCCAATTTCTTCATAGCATAAATTGAGGTTAACGTGCATCTGTGGTTATTTGATTTTGTGATTTTGACAAATTGCTTCCGTTTTCTAAAGTCTAGACTCTTCATTGTAATATTTGGGTATATTTTGGTATTTCATTTGGTTTTTGGTGCGTTTTTGCAATTTATTTCATGTTATTTATTTAATAACATAGTTAATTTGTTTAATTTGTTTTTCTTGTCGATTATTTGCAGATAGTTGACTTAACAGTCTACTGTAGGGTAGGACACCTAGAACTTTGTTGTTTGCTGCTTACCATTAACATAGAACGAATTTGCAGTCAAATGGCAGTGCAATATCTGGGGATCGTCTCTGTGATTGTGTGAGCATCTAATTCTTAAGTGAGTAATCCCTTGTTCTTAGTTGTTGACTATATGTTGATTAAGTGATTATGATGTCTTAAAGCAACGCTGAACCATCTCCCTGTGATGATACAAGGGAGTTCTTATTAACAAAACTAGTATAACATTCACCAGTACAATGTTTGAAAACTTTAACTTGTTTTTTATAAGAAATGAGCACTTTATTTTTAGGAAGCTGTTTAAGTAATTCATAATCACAATGATTTTATAAAAAGTTACACTTATTTAAATCACTCGATGAACAGAGGAGCCGTTTGATAATTACTTCAGTAGGGTTGCAGGTAATGTTAGTAAGGAGGCTCAACGGATCATATCTAATACTGAGTTCATTTGGACATTATATTATAGGCTAAATTTTTGAAAATGCAACATGTTTATTTTAACCGGGGTATGCTTTGCTTTGTCTGGTATTTTTCCTTTCATGTATCGTAGTAAGGAGTCGCCTGGAACGCACCCAATTCCTTCATAGCATAAATTGAGGTTAACAATGCATCTATGATCATTTGATTTTGTTATTTTGACAATTTATTGTGTTTTGTAACGTGTTGGATTCTTCATTGTAATACTTTTGTTTATTTTAGAATTTTAGTTGGTTTTGGGTGGGGTTTTGTCATTTATTTCATGTTATTTACTTAATAACATATTTAATTGGTTATTCTTGTCGATTATTTGCAGATAGTTGACTTACTAGTCTACTGTAGCGTAGGACTCCTAGGACTTTGTTGTTTGCTGCTTACTATTAATCTAGACCGAATTTGCAGTCAAACGGCAGTGCAATATCTGGGGATCGTCTCTGTGATTGTGTCAGCATCTAATTCTTAAGTAAGTAATCCCTTGTTCTTAGTTGTTGACTATATGTTGATTAAGTGATTATGATGTCTAAAAGCTACACTGAACCATCTTCCTGTGATGATACAAAGGAGTTTTTATTAACAAAACTAATATAAAATTCACCAGTACAATGTTCGAAAGCGTTAAGTTACTTTTTATAAGAAACGAGCACTTTACGATTAGCAAGCTGTTTAAGTAATAGGTGTTCACTATTAATAAATACAAAGTTACAATCATTTGAATCAGTTAACGAAAGGAGAAGAAGGTTGATAGATAGCTGAACTGATCATATATATTAGCGAGTTCATTTGACATTGGGCTACTTTTGTTAATTTTGCTAGTTCATTTCGCTTTTGGTGCTGTTTTGTTATATATTTCATATTATTTCGTTTATAATGTAGTTAATTTGTTTTTCTTGTCGATTATTAGCAGATCGTTGACTTACTTGTCTACTGTGTTGTAGGACTCCCTGGACTTTGTTGTGTGCTGCTTATCGCTAACCTAACACGAATTGGCAGTGAATAGTGGTGGGAATAAAGTCCATTATACTATTTATTGATATAAACTGAGAAATAAGTTCATAATTACTTTAAGGTGCTATGCATGCTATAGCTATAGAAGATGAATTAATAATTCATAGTGAGTACATTTAACATTTTAGTATTTTTATTAGTTTTAAATACATAAGAAGTACATTTTCTTTAACAACTGTACAGTAAGTTTGGAAGTTGTAATATGTTGTTTGTTTAATAATGCTACGGTGTGGATTTGTTATTTTTCTGTTCATCTGTATGCAAGCCTCATATCACACCATATCCCACACCCAAGTCTCGTACCCTAAATGCCTCATAGCACATCCACAGTAAATAGCCACACACTTCATGCCCTAGTTATGCCAACTATCGCGCAACACCATACACATCTAACGCCACTCCCACCATCTGGTATCTTGAATCCGCGCCCGTTGTCTGTTTAGCATTGTCTGATAACCAGTGTATGATGTACTGTGGTGTTCGAAGTGTGTTGAACGCCTCATGGCCGGTGTGGTATAGGCGACAGCTATCATGTTCGGTGCCAAATAGGCAATGCCGTGTATTGAACATATATTTTTGTTCAGGTGTCCGCTGTTCGGTTTAAGGTGTATAGTTCAGGATTGAGGTACGTGTTGGGTATGTGTGGTTCGGTGAGCGGTATCAGTTGTGCGTTGCCGGGATTTGCTACCAGGGGTCCGGCATCCGTTGTCANAAGCGTTAAGTTACTTTTTATAAGAAACGAGCACTTTACGATTAGCAAGCTGTTTAAGTAATAGGTGTTCACTATTAATAAATACAAAGTTACAATCATTTGAATCAGTTAACGAAAGGAGAAGAAGGTTGATAGATAGCTGAACTGATCATATATATTAGCGAGTTCATTTGACATTGGGCTACTTTTGTTAATTTTGCTAGTTCATTTCGCTTTTGGTGCTGTTTTGTTATATATTTCATATTATTTCTTTTATAACGTAGGTAATTTGTTTTTCTTGTCGATTATTAGCAGATCGTTGACTTAATTGTCTACTGTGTTGTAGGACTCCCTGGACTTTGTTGTTTGCTGCTTACCATTAACCTAGAACGAATATGCAGTCAAATGGTAGTGCAAAATCTGGAGATCCTCTCTATGATTGTGTCAGCATCTAATTCTTAAGTAAGTAATCCCTTGTTCTTGGTTGTTGACCATACGTTTGATTAAGTGATTATGATGTCTTAAAGCAACGCCGAACCATATTGCTGTGATGATACAAGGGAGTTTTTATTAAAAAAACTTGTATAAGATTCACCAGTACAATGTTCGAAAACGTTAACTTGCTTTTTATAAGAAAGGAGCACTTTATTTTTAGGAAGCTACTTAAGTAATTCGTAATCACAATGATTTTATAAAAAGTTACACTTATTTAAATCACTCAATGAACAGAGGAGCCGTTTGATAATTACTTCAGTAGGGTATGTAGGTAATGTTAGTAAGGAGGTTGAACGGATCATATGTAATAGTGAGTTCATTTGGACATTATATTTTAGGCTAAATTTTTGAAAGTGCAACATGTTTATTTAATTTGACCAGGGTATGCATTGCTTTGTCTGGTATTTTTCCTTTCATGTATCGTAGTAAGGAGTCGCCTGGAACGCACCCAATTCCTTCATAGCATAAATTGAGGTTAACAATGCATCTATGATCATTTGATTTTGTTATTTTGACAATTTATTGTGTTTTGTAACGTGTTGGATTCTTCATTGTAATACTTTTGTTTATTTTAGAATTTCAGTTAGTTTTGGGTGGGGTTTTGTCATTTATTTCATGTCATTTACTTAATAACATATTTAATTTGTTGTTCTTGTCGATTATTTGCAGATAGTTGACTTACTAGTCTACTGTAGCCTAGGACTACGAGGACCTTGTTGTTTGCTGCTTACCATTAATCTAGAACGAATTTGCAGTCAAACGACAGTGCAATATCTGGGGATCGTCTCTGTGATTTTGTCAGCATCTAATTCTTAAGTAAGTAATCCCTTGTTCTTAGTTGTTGACCATATGTTGATTAAGTGATTATGATGCCTAAAAGCAACACTGAACCATCTTCCTGTGATGATACAAAGGAGTTTTTATTAACAAAACTAATATAAAATTCACCAGTACAATGTTCGAAAGCGTTAACTTACTTTTTATAAGAAACAAGCACTTTACGATTAGCAAGCTGTTTAAGTAATAGGTATTCACTATTAATAAATACAAAGTTACAATCATTTGAATCAGTTAACGAAAGGAGAAGAAGGTTGATAGATAGCTGAACTGATCATATATATTAGCGAGTTCATTTGACATTGGGCTACTTTTGTTAATTTTGCTAGTTCATTTCGCTTTTGGTGCTGTTTTGTTATATATTTCATATTATTTCGTTTATAATGTAGTTAATTTGTTTTTCTTGTCGATTATTAGCAGATCGTTGACTTACTTGTCTANAGGGTTGCAGGATAGGTAGTTGCTAATGTTGTTTGCATCACTAGTTATCATATTGTTTTGTTCAAAATTTTGCGGTTAGTGCCATGGATTTTACTCCATGTATAAAATATCCTAATTTTGTCGATACGTTTTAGTTCGAAACTTTCAAATCATAAGCAAACACTAATTTACCTAAATTTTTTCAAGTACCCATCCGCAATAATTATTTTGATGCGTGTAAAACTTTTAAATGTCTCGTTTTTGCTAACATTGTTTGCTTACACTGTACGCACGTTTCAAATAACTTATGTAATTTTGAAAATAGCGCTCTTTATTTATTTACTAAAACGGTGTGAAAGTTATAAAAGAAAACGATGCTGACTATCTACCTATCATGATGATGAAGCTTATCGCCTATCTGCCTTATCTTTCTCGTTCGTCATCAGTAACATTGAACATTAGTTCCTCAGTCACTAACGATGAGTGCTTTCTATTATGGATTAATAATAAGAAAAAGTGCCTAATGATAACGTGCAACTATCCACTATATGCTCTATGTATAAATAATTAGCCGTGTGAATTTAAATACGTACCTACATAATTACCTATTATAAAGTGACCACCGATTTAACTATCATACCTTTCATGTGTGTGTTTTCGTTAAGTTATCGAAAATTTGTCGTTAACGTTGCAAATCGATTGACGTAAAATACTAATAGTGTTGAATTGGATTAAATTTGTTTATTGACCAATCGCAAATTCAAATGTTAAGAAGATGATGTATAATACTGTCGGGAGGACTAGAAAAAGTTCCATTAGCACTTCCTCTGCGTCTGTGACGGTCTCGGGTTGGTTCAATTCTCTCAGAAAAAATGGGAAAAAAGGGAAAGTTTCACAAAAGAATTTCTCGGCCTCTAGGAGCGATTGGGACATCTCGACAATTACCACAGCGCCACCTCGATGGGTATGTGTTTTACAACTTTGTTTTGTTTAATGATGATAACAAATATGCACACGGTTATGGCTCGAAATAGGATACTTTTAAACCATTTGGCGTCGGGATGAACCATTCTGTTTGACTGATGTACGAATGTACGTTTATTAAATACGTTAAATCATTATCTAAAGCAAAGGAAATTTGGGGGTAAAATGCCCACGTTTCGCCTTTATCATTTAGGAATTCTTCAAGGAAGAGTGCAAGTTAATAGTTGTTTGTGTGCAGATGATTATTGATTATTGAAGCTTAATCCAGGCACAATTAATAAATGTACGTACTATGGTTTTCTTTGCGAATGCATTCTCTATCTTTCCAGCAACTCAAGGATGAATTGTGCGATGTGGTTTCCGAAATGGAATCGCTGGATTCTGGAGAGGAAGGCAAAAATAGCAATAAAGCTAAAATGATGTCTATTGGTCGGAAAAAATTTAACATGGATCCTAAAAAAGGTATCGAGTATTTGATTGAGAAGGATCTCATCCAGAACACACCCGAGAGCGTCGCCCAATTTCTTCATAAAGGAGAGGGACTTAACAAGACTGCTATTGGGGATTATCTGGGAGAAAAGAACGAGTTCAACGAAAAAGTTTTGCAGGCATTTGTTGGATTGCACGATTTTACTGATCTTATTCTAGTACAAGCCTTAAGGTATATTATGCCTTTTTACCAACGTTTTAACTGTTTTTAGTAACCATGAATACAACTTTACATCCTAAAATTGCACCGAACGTTTACCATCTCTAAGCGCGCTGAAGTTAGAGACTAACCGTGGAAGATAGAGCTTGGGTGTCTGAACGCGTTTTAGAAGTAAACTAAACTTTTTTATGAAATTTTGGGATTTACTGTTTCATTTAGTTCTGTTCCACGGCATTCAATTTTTTTATTTTTTTTGTAATAACCGAGAAGAGAAATTAACGGCGTACTTTTTGAAATTTCCTTTTTCTTTACAAATTAGAAAATACCGTATTATTGTAGTTTCATTAATTTGTCCGTATAACAAGATGAGAATGCCTACAATTATTATCAAAGTAATAAGTATTATTATTCGTAGACAATTCTTGTGGAGTTTCCGTTTGCCAGGAGAAGCACAAAAGATCGATAGGATGATGGAATGCTTTGCAAAAAGATACTGTGAATGTCAGGGAGAAAATAATATATTTCAAAATTCGGACACGTGTTATGTTCTTTCATTTGCCATCATCATGCTGAACACGAGTCTCCACAATCCAAGCGTTAAAGAAAAACCAACGATCGATCAGTTTATTAATATGAATCGAGGCATCAATATGGGACAGGATTTACCAAGAGAATTACTGGTGGTAAGTTCATGTGTGATCATAGTATGATTGAATTTTTTTTTATGGTTGTGTCGGTTTAGTAGAAGAAAAGCTTCTTCGTTCGTTATCATGATATTGATTAATGTTTGCAGGGTCTTTATGAAAGTATCAAAGCTGAGCCTTTTAAGATTCCAGAAGATGATGGTAACGATTTAATGCATACGTTTTTTAATCCGGACAAAGAAGGTTGGCTGTGGAAACAAGGCGGTCGTTATAAAAGTTGGAAACGGCGCTGGTTCATTCTAAACGATAACTGCCTGTATTATTTTGAATACACGACAGATAAGGAGCCCCGAGGTATCATCCCATTGGAGAACATCTCCGTCCGAGAATGTACCGATCGTCAAAAACAACATTGCTTTGAACTTTATGCAAGTGGAGGTGCGGATTTCATAAAGGCCTGTAAAACAGATTCGGAAGGTAAAGTTGTCGAGGGTAAGCATACGGTTTATAGAATGTCGGCAAGTAGCGAAGAGGAAAAGATCGATTGGATGAACAGATTAAGTCAAAGTATAAGTCATAATCCTTTTTACGATATGCTGGCCAGTAGAAAGCGGAAAGCCCAATATACAGCCAAAAATTAACCAATACAATACCATACAACAATTGAGATTTTTGTGTGCTCATGTCACCCTTATAATTTTCACTATCATTTTTTTTTTTCAATTTATGGTATATGAAGCCGCTGAAATTAATTATTAACTAAAAGTAAATTTCATAATGAAATTTGTTAAACTCGTCGTTTTTAATGCAGTACTGTGCTCGTTGGTCTGTAGTAATACCTAAATTTACATATGTAATTAATAACGAACGGTATGTGATGATAGTAATTTTTTAAATAAAGTCCTACATATTTCTACTTATTTTCTAGAGAAGATGTGAACGATAAATATGCTCAAAAACAAAATTCTTTCTCTTTTCTTAATCGCCTTTCATGTTCTTTATAAGTACTTTGAAAATTAGCCCAAGCAGGTTGTTTGTTGTATTTTACACGAATTTTTTAATTAGGGGAGACGTCGACATTTCGATCGTTTGATATTTCTATGAATTAATGCGATTAATAATCGTCACATATCGAAGAACCTAACGAGAGACTGGGCTTGCAATTATTGTTAAGCTCCTTACATATCGATTAATTAACAAGTTTTATTATTTGTTGTTTGCAATTAAAAAAGAAATTTGTTCATGGAAAATTACATATGTCGAGGTTTCTCAAATGTTTTATTTTAACTTTGCTTTGTACATTTGCATATTTAGAATATTTGTTATATTTTCTTCGAACTTGTGTGTACAGCGTATGTGTGCGTGCGTGCGTTGTTGTTGTTGTTATTATGATTTATAAATTACTATTTTATAATATTTTAAATACTAGTCGAACCCTGAAAATTATTATATGTATAAATATTTACAAATACTAACGTAGGAATTTATATTATTCATTGATACCTGAAGGAATCGTAATACACCTTTCTTATTATCAATTAAGAGAAACTTTTTGTACATGAATTGAATGTATATAATAAGTTAAGTATGTACCTATATGTGATGTACATATTATAATATTATGTGAATCTTTTAAGAAGCAATAAACAATTGTTTCCTAAACTATGTAAAAATGCACGAGAGGAAAAGTTTTCATTCCCAAAAGTCGTTTTATTAAAGTGTGATATACTGATATTGCACTAATAGGAGGAATTACTTTCATAATGGACAGAAGTAACCGGTTTTGCATTTTCCACCCTTCATTTTCAAAATCTTTCTTTTACTTTTATTTTAATTATGCACTTTTAAACGTTTAATTTCTACCTTAGTATAGGATCTAAGGTTGTCAAAATTATATGAGGGACGTAGGAGAAGCCCCACGCAAGGACAAAATGGACTGTAGTAACCGGTGATAATTTTGCAACCCTAATTCTTAAAATCTTTCCTTTACTTTTATTTTAATTATGCAATTTTGAAAGTACTGCTGCTATTTTAACTAGTTCTTCCCACTTATCAGTCACGATAAGCTCAAAACTGTAAGCACCATTACTTCCAGTGGTCGAACTTCACTTTTGTTAACAAGTTGTTTAATCATTTTCCTTGTGTTACAAATTGTTTAAAAAAGAAATGTTTGTAAATGGGCAGGTAACACATCGTACACCTCAGCATAGTAAATTGCATATCCCAACTGCGTGATTTATAAAACAATTTTGAAAGTTATGTTTCTCCTTTATAATAGGGGCTAAAATTGCGAAAATCACATGATTGGCGTATAAAGAGTCCCACGGAGGGACAAAATATACAGAAGTAACCGGTGAGCATTTTGCACCCCTTATATTTAAAATCTTCTTTCTTTTACTTTTATTTTAATTAAGCAATACTGAAAGTTTAGTTTCTCCCTTACTATAGGGTCTAAGATTGTCAAAATCACATTAGGCACGTAGAAGGAGCCCCACGCAAGGACAATAAGGGCAGAAGTAGCCGGTGAGTATTTTGCACCTTTCATTTTTAAAATCTTCTTGTTTTTATTTTTATTTTAGTTAAGCAATTTAAAACTTTAGTTTCACTCTTGCAATATGGTTTAAGATTGTAAAAATAACATGAGGGACATAGAGCTAGCCCCACGCAAGGACAATCTGGATAGAAGCAACTGGTGAGCATTTTGCACCTGTCATTTTTAAAATTTTCTTGTTTTCACGTTTATTTTTATTAAGCAATATTGAAAGCTTAATTTTTCCCTTACTGTAGGGCCTAAGACTGTCATAATCACACGAGGGACGTAGAAAGAGCCCCACGCATGGACAATATGGACTGAAGTAACCGGTGAGAATTTTGCACCTTTCAGTTTTAAAATCTTCTTGTTTTTATTTTTATTTTAGTTAAACAATTTAAATCTTTAGTTTCACCCTTACAATATGGTCTAAGATTGTAAAAACAACATGAGGGACATAGAGCTACCCCCACGCAAGGACAATATGGATAGTAGCAACTGGTGAGCATTTTGCAACCCTTATTCTTAAAATCCTCCTTTTGCTTCTATTTTAACTAGTTCTTCTCACATATCAGTCACGGTAAGCTCGAAACTGTTAGCGCCATTGCCTCCAGTGGTCGAAATTCACTTTTGTGAACAATTTGTTTAATCATTTTCCTAGTGTTAGAAATTATTTCAATTACAGCTGTTTTTCG